TTTTTTGTTTTTTTTTTTTTTCATAAGACAAAAGTGAATGTTTTGAAAGGTCATTTGGAAGTTACAACAATTTACTGATATATTTTCCCGACAGCGATTTTCATGATATGTTCCTTTTTCAACGTTTTATGCTATGGTAATAATAAATCAAATAAATCATGTAAATATTAAAATAGCCACAAGTTATTGATCTTATTAGGCAGTGACGCACACATTTTGTGTAATAATTGATAAACTGCTTTATATCTCTTTAATCACTGTCAATTTCTCAAATTTGTTCTGAATTTTTTTTAATATTTGTAAATATTGATAACACCAATCCATAAACGAGTAATTAAGTTGACCGTTTATTGGTGAAATGTAATATATTTGTTGCATATGTTACACCTTTGAGATATAACTATGTCTTACATGCATGTCTTACGGATATTCAAAGTGATTAAGTAGTGATTTAAGTGTTCTTAAACTTGGTAGTTTTACAATAAAATGCTTAATTAATACGTGGTTGTTTGGCACTAAATAAAGACTTTCCAAGTATACAAAATGTCTTAGTTATTTCTTTGACGGTTGCGTTTCTCAGCGGCAATCTGGGGTTGGGCTTCAAACTTGTCTTACATTTCTAAAATTTCTTTAATGTATTGGGATTTTTTAGAAATTTACTTTGGTTACTACAATAATTTCATTGACTCCAAAATCCAAGTAATTTCAAAGAAGTTTTATACAAAACAAAATATATGATGTTACGTTTTTTATGTTGATAGCAGTCATTACAATAGCGTCAAATTTCTAAAAAAAATTCTATAAATCATGCTTTTACAAAAAAATACTAGAAGTCTACCAGATAGTAGACTAACACATATGAAGGATTTTATGCACTTTGGAAATTGCTGCTCAAACAACAAATTCTATTTATTTATATAAAAGAAAATTTCGACATAATTCTTACCAAAACAAAATTCACATAAAAATTGATCAGGATTAGTAGATACATTGAAATCATATCGTACTTGTCAAACTTTGTTCAAAGTTGACGTTAATAATTGATTACTAATTCCATTGAGGAGCAAAGTGTCCAATTTCAGTGGTGTGAATGATATCGAAATTTCAAAATGCATATATGACATAGGCGTCTTCCCCTTACGTGCACTCGCACTTATGCACACCTTGTTCTATGCCGTCGTAGTGATTCTCGCACAGAAAGAGGTAGACAAAAATAGTCATTTTTAAGAATCGAGTGTTTTACGTTATTTTGTTTTCATTTCATTACATCCTTAATATTGGTAGGTTAATGGCACGACTTTGAGCGAAAACTTAAATTTGCACACATGCGAATCAAGAAACGGCATAAAGACATGGTTAATTTACAAGCTTATTCTAGTCATAACAATTTAAGAAAAATATGCAAACAAAACTGAAAAGATTACGCAAAAAAACTTAAGAGTCAATAATTCATAAATGCTAATACCCTTACTCTGGTCTCCGGTGTTCAGTTATAAAGAAACAATTGGCAAAAATACCCCCAACAATGCTGGAATGGCATCTAATAAGACCTTTTCCTCTCAATCACCTCTCGACCAAAGAAATATCAATTAATAAAGCACTTCGAACAAAGAACATAGACCCCCCCCCCAACTTTTTGCGCCGGCTGAAGCAATCAATTTAAATTGCATGATGAATTTTCTAAATTAAAAATGTAAAGGTTATGATAAATGTCAGTCTTACATAGATATTTTTATGCATATAAACACGGAAGTTTTTCAGGAGACCATTTACATTTTGATATTGGCAAAAAGTCGAACAACACACAAATGGACTCGTGCAATACTGATAAATTTGGGTGGCCCTAAGAAGGGGCAGTATTTATCACGTGGGTAACATGTATTCCCCTACTGCAATAACGAATGCGCAGTTATTTCGTGAAAATCCCCATTTCTCCCCTGGTTCCATTTTCTTAACATTGTTTTAGACCCCTCCCAGCACAGTACATGTGTATCTGTCACTGATCAGACAATATCAAAACGCCGAAACCAAAGTAAGTTCATTTTTAACATATGCGTCACAAACGTATATCCACAATTTAAAAAAGGATCGTTTCTTATACATGGGCAATTCTGGAATCACGTGGACAAATTTTATCTTTTTCATAACGCTATAATTCCCAAAGCATTATAACTTGAAGTACAGTGTTTGCAAGTTAAATAAACAACTTGTTCTTTTCTCAAACTTAACGGTCAATATATGTAACCGTTTGTTTCTCAAAAGTTTCATGTAATAAAGTTGAGATATTTTTCTTCTTGAAATTTCTCAAATTCAATTCAATTCAAAATAAATATTTAAAATATCCTCAAATGCACAGCTAAGTGGCTGATTGAAGATTTGCCCACAGAAAAATTTTACCTTCAACTAGAAGGAACAGGAACAGTATTCTACCTAAATTCGCCTTATAATAATAATAACTATCATTTTTGTTTTAATCCATCACTATCAGCAAATACTTTTTGAATTAAAATTATTTTCTTAAAGGTGAACTCCAAAAAGTGCCGTATTTTTGTTTGAGAACTGATGGGTACCTCCCCCTGACACAATAATAAATATACATAATAAATAAAATACCTTAAAACGATATGAGCTGATAGAGTACTGTACTACAATTTAGAAACAAATCTATAATGTATAGCCAGCGACATGCAAGGTCGACGATATCCATTTCTTTCTTTTTCTCTGATCAGAAGTTTCATTAAAAAATTCTTGCTGCGTGCAACAATTATTTTGATACTCGTTTTATGCAGAATATTATTATCCAAGGCAAAGATTACATTTCACACCAAATGTCAATTCTGCAAATAAGCCACAAGACAAACTTCAACAAGGGAGACAATCTTGGAATGGGCGCAAGCGATGTCCAAGATGAATCTGATGTCTTTGATCGGCGATGCATCCAATCACCCGGTAAACAGCAGTAGGGAGCCACTGAAATAAACGAAGAAAATCACATTCATGACACGGTTTGATGAAGCAGTATGTATATCTTTACAGCATGCTATTTTGGAACACATGCGATTATGTTAACAAAACACTATTGTGCCATTCCTATTCTTTTCTACTGTGTGCACACTGTTTAATGACAACATACTTCTTTGCATTCATATGTAAGATGCGGTATGAAAGGACCAGTCTCCCGGATTATGGAGATATTTACGAAAATGAAAGTCAGTGAATGAACACATTTGGCAGATGGGTCCAATTAGTATAAAATTGACAGGATCTTAAAAAAGACATTATCTAGGCACGTTTTGACTGTCCAAGCCACGTTTTTCAGGCGGAGGGGGCGAGAATACGAGGATACATTAGCTGGATTTCGTCTAGTTTCGTGCCATGTACAATATTTTTGCGCTTTTGATTTGTTCTTGTTCCTGTTTTGATTAGTTATTTTGTGATGGAGAAGAGATACTTCTTAAAGGGAGGGACACCGTAGCCCCGTTCACCACCCCCACCCCTCCCCTCCTTAAATTGTCCCGTCGTTTCCAGGAATGTAATGACACAATAGTTCAACATCTTATTAATGAATGTGCATTTGTCTGTATGAAGTTTACTTTTATAAACCAGATATTTTGATACTTTGAAGACATGTCAATGACCTTGACAATAAAACAATAAGGAGAATGCAGATACCTGCCCAGTCGTCTTGTTGAGGACTTGTTCACACCTTTGGACAGCTGCAATAAGCCCCTCACTTCCTCATTGGCAAGTGCGTTCCTTCCCTGAAATTACAGAAAATAAATCATTCAAACTTTGAGCTAATTTTGAAATTCTAATGGAGAGTGTATTGGACATAATAATGTTCCCATAGTCATAAGAACTAAAATGTCCCTGTGCGAAACGCATCATCTGGGCAATTGTCATCAACACAAAATACACAACGTTATCTTATCTCATCTATACAATACTACGGCAATTTCCTGTCATTTTCTGTGCTAAATTTGTGGCCTACATGTGGAAATTGCAGCAACGTACCAAGTTCCTCTGTCTTCTCCATCTTCTACTGACCTTGGTCCTACCTGAACACCTCTCACCGAAATGCTCACCTGTATTACATAATAATGCACAGGTCACCCGCTTTTTAAACGCAAGTTTCGATTTAAAATATTTTTTTGTTATTTGATATGGCGCTAGGGGTCCTAATCCCGCGATGGTGATTTAGGCTTTCTACCATCATAATGGCAAAAATAATAACAACTTACCAACCATTAAGTTTGATATCAAATAATTTGGCTATGTTTCACCTCCCCCCCCCCCCCGTTTTTTCGTTTACCCGATTTGTATAGAACGTTAAAATTAGTGACAGTGTTCATTTAGGACCTAGAGTGAGTACAGCTTAGTTAACTAGAGCTGTCACAGCTAGGATTGACTTAACAGATGTGTTTTATAAAGTACATAAAAAACTAATACTGACTCAGACTAGGTGTAAATGTTCTCACCTCCCTCGGGAGGATACAGCCCAGAGAGGGTACCAATGAGGGGGGGGGGTGTGATTACAATTCACAGTAATCACAGTAAATAAAAGTTAATTCAAATTTCACTGAAAATGCGCGTCAAAAATCACGAATCACCGGGTATAACGACTTTCTTTCACGAATAACGGAGAAAAAAATCCGCCTGTACGAGTCACAGGAATGGGGTGCCTCACGCTAAATAAACTGAGCGTTTCTCGAATCTTGGGAAGTAAATAGTGGCTTTCACAGGTAAGGAAAATACCCAGTGGCAGCCTCGTATGGGGCTGTGAAAACTAGCGTGCGGACAATACTGCCAAATGTTTCAATTACCTTTGTGAACGAAACTTCAGATTCAACTACCTACTCTTAGAAGATCACTTTTACAAAGTTGAAGATATTACCCCCCCCCCCCCCATGCATTAAATTAAACTACCTGTCCAAAACGCCTGAAAAACGCATGTTCTCAGTCTGTACCAGTATTTCAGAGTAAGGTCGTATTTTCTGAAAGGGAACTTTCAAAATTTATATGATCAAATTACATGTTTTTATGGAGCTTAGTATATATTTGGGCGCAAATGTCTCCGTATGTTTATTTTTCACACAGCAAAAGCTACTTACTGAAGAATGAAGTAACATTTGAGAGCTAGCAACGCTGTCAATGTTTACGGTAATCCGTATCCAAATTCAAGGTCGCGGGGGTAATTATAATGATTTTAATAATTAATAACAGATTCTAGTTTTTATTTATTTATTTATAAAAAATAGTTATTGAGGGTAAAACATAGTAAACTATAAAAGCACTCAGAGAGCGCAGACCTCCGCCAAGGCAGCAAAGTCTCCATCCAATGCCGTTTAACCCCTAAATTTCTAATATTTTTGATTATTGATTATTGATTGATTATTGATCCGGATCACCACCAATCACCCTAATCATCTGTTCCTTGGCCCACTTCTGACAGTTCCTGAAAATTTCATCAAAATCGGTCCATAACTTTTTGAGTTATATGATGACAGACAGACAGACAGACAGACAGACAGGGGTGAAAACATAGCCCCCTTGGCGGCGGTAATTGAATATTTGTCTTCCCCATGGCCCTCAGGTAATGGTAATTGATGTTTAATTACAAGAAATAATTTTAATTGATTAAAATTAAATAAGGTGCCACCGTTAGATAGGTGGCATTTTCAAAAGCAGACTCTAGTCTAATTATTCTATCGGCACGTGCACTTACAGGTACTTATAGTTATGGGGAAGTATCGGGTCCCGTTATCTATCAAGACGTATGTGTCGAGACGTACGAGTACGTCAGGACTGGTATTGGTAGGAATTGAGACTTAATGGAGCTGGATGGTAACAAAGGTAACAAAAGTGTTGTGATAGACAGGTACCAATCAAACTCATATGGTTTAATTCAATTTTGACGGAGGCTATCAAAAGCACACGACTTTGATTGACAGTTTTATAAACAAACGTCAATCACAATCATAATGCAGTTGATAAATACAGTTGTCGAACATGTAAAGTTCCAGCTTCCTTCACCGTTTGATTGACAACGTGCCAATCAAATCATTCAGTTTTGACAGATCCCGTCAAGTAATAACAGCTTGATTGACGTCAAACTTCAATGCAGAGACAAAAAATTCCCATCTGAGGTTTTGGTCGTCTTAATCCATTCCTTTAGGTCAAATTATAAAAATTCCCATTTCTAAAGCTCAGTTTTTACCCATTATTGTATCTTATTTGTCATTTTTCCCGTACCGTGTTTTGCTGTGCATGGGAAGTTGCGTGCGTACCTCACATCGCTCAACCGTTCAGCAGTTTCTCTCCTACAAAGTTGCCAATTTTTTTCAGTCTTATCACTGGTGCATACATTCAAATTATCGACACATAGAAGGAATGACAGTAAATAAAAATATGCTTTATGAAGTTTCAAAAATTTTCAAACTTAGTAAGTACTGCTAAATTTATTACTGAAAATTGTTGTTTATTACTTTCATCTATATGACTTTATTCTTTTTCCTGTCACAAAAGACAGTCTTTCAAGAATACATCTGTAAAGTTCTATTTTGTTCCTGTTATTTGAAAGCATTTCCCCTGAGGAAATGTAATCTCCTTCCTCTTTTTCGGAAAATCTTTTTAAAAAATTTAAAGAAGTTTCACTATGCATTCATTCCGGAATTTATTCAAGTAATGTTGTCTTGAAGATGACACCTAGCTAATCCACCCCATATTTTCCTCCCTATTATTTTTTTTCTAAGTGTTTGAAAATCCAAGACTCTTTTTGCTTACTTCTTGTCGATCGGTGAATATTAATTAGAACCTTACAACTCACCAATTTTGCATCTTGATTCTCTCTCTGTCTCTTTTCTTCTATCTTTCTCTTAAAAACTCATTTGGGGGTTAGGGACAATAATCTAACCAAACCGAAATGGTGCATACCGTAACCTGCTGAGTTGCGTTCGATGTTAATACTTAATTAAAAAAAAAAAGCCACACTGTATATTCATCAGGGGCGGATCCAGGATTATTTTAAGGGGGGGGGGTTCGGTTTTCAGGACTTACAGGCCGCGGATGCTTTGGCGTGGGACTCGGGGCCCGCCGTAAAAATTTGGTATTTTAGAGGGCGAACGGTGCCTTTCGGTACTGTTTAGAACTATGTTTCAGTAAGTCAAAATTCCAATTTCAAGTGGGGACCATTGGTGTGATTTTTTTTTCAGAAATCGAAGGGAGGTCACGACCCCCTGACACCCCCCTTAAAAGCGCCGCTGTTCTTAAACAGCATTTTTACTTGATATTCTTATTAGATTATATTTTTCCATATCATTTCAGATATAAAAAAAATAATAATACAATAAATAGATATGTGCTTGGCACTTTAGATCAGTCGAGTGTGACTCATTATATAAGATATTAATTACATTAAGAAGAGTTCGATGAGTTCGATTTTAGTTTTCATCATCAAAATCAAGATCTGATTGCAAAAAATTTTCCGCATGCTGATGCAAATATCCCAGCGGATAACCAAGATTCCAGCAATCTCGAAGTTGTAGGTGATGAACAGACTCTCCACATCAAACCCGTCACCTCTGCCGATGCAAGCACAACCCGTAACAATGTAAATATTTTTGTTGGTAATGTGTCCCCTGTAAATGATGTTGATGATATGGTAGCTCATGTTTCAAGCATGTGGATCGACGGGGTTTCCTGGAGACTGCTGTCTGAGAAGTACGGTAAAAATCTTTCGTCATTAAGATACCAGCAGTGTATAAAAAGCTTGTTTTGAACACTGACAACTGGAATGGCAATATAAAAATCCAGACCTTTCGTAACAATAATGCAACAAGACCCCCACCCTCACACGAAGGGATAACCGTAAGCACCCAAACGTAAGGTCCGGGAGGCATGGCGGTGACTCTCACGAAGCCACTACTCCAACGGGCAACGTAATTCACCCGACACCTACCACCGCTATTTAGGAGAGAACAACAGGAGACGGTCCGACGAGTGGGAGACGACACACCGATACACCTACGACAACGGAAGGGACTACGACAAATATAAGGAGAGATCACATAGGTACGAATCTCACGGGAGACAGCAATCCTCACGATATGCGAGAAACTATTTCTACTAAAAGTAATGTTGGGTCACAAAATATACAACAGATTATTGTCGAGAGTTTTAACTGTAAGGTCCTGAAGAGCTCAGTTGATTACTTACAAGATAGGTTAGAGTCTTGTGACATACTATGCCTATCTAAAACTTGGCTAAGGCCACATGATATCTCTCTCCTCCCCGAGATTTTACACGTAACTCCAGGTACATTCAAAACTTATGGGAAAAGTGCTATGGGAGAGCTAGACTTTCCTTACTCTGGCCGACCATTTGGTGGTGTATCTTTAATCGCGAGACAGATGTCAAACGTTACGATAAGTGAACTGGTAGTTGATAGTAATAAAATATGTGCTATTGGAGTTTTTGATTCCACCGGTAATATAGTTCTAGTAGCGGCATCGGTTTATATGCCATGCTTTGAATGTGGTAATGGGACTAGTACAGAGGAGTATATAGATACCATCGCCTGCCTTCATTCTCTAATAGAAACATATGCATCATCTGCGCCCACTGCGCTCTGTGGTGACTTTAATGCCCAGGGCCCGGTTGCACCAACAGGGCGTAAATTTACTCGGCTACGACTGTCGTAAACAGCAACGCCTGGCGTCCGTGCGCCAGGTTTACTCTCCCTGCTTACGCCCGTTGCACCAAGACAAAAACTGATCGTCGTAACTACGCCCGAGTAACGCTCCGTTGCGCCACTGGCCAACAATACGTGGATGGTATAATTGGGCAAATGAGGAGTTCTCAGCTGCAGTCATAATGGAATGATGACATAAATAAACACAAAAGGAGCANGCCCAGCTGCCCACAGATAAGGACGTGCTTACGATGGTACAAGGACAAACGCTTTAATGACCACAGTGGTATATTACACGACTTCATCCTGGAAAATTGTCTTACACCTGCGGACTTGCTTTTGACCCAAGCGCTTAAAGGGGAATAC